GAGTAGCCTTATTCCACATGTAAGAATAGTACTTAGCTGTAATATAGTAACTTTTATCTGAGGATTTTAAACACTTCTTCAAATATTAAATCTTACAACAAACTTGTGGAATATTTTACCCACATGACAGATGGCTGAATTGTGCACCCAGGGGTTAAGTGACTTGACAAAAGCCAAGCAGTGAATAAGTAGCAAAGTCAGGAAAAGAACCCATGAGTCCCAATTGTAGGTGCCTACTTTCACTACAGGTTCAACCTCAACATCTGTGGTGCAACATGATGTAAGTTAGCTGGATGTCCGCGTATAGTGGGTGTGGCCAATTTTTCCACTGTCCCATAAAGTTTGTTTACAGCCACTGGTCCTGGCTCTCAGTGTTCTGTCCTGTTACTTAGCTCGGATTTTCCCCTAAATGTCTTCTAAGGGCCCAGTAAGCAGTGGAAGTGTTGCTAATGCTGCCAGATAATATTGATCTCCTGTGGTCTGGCAAATTCTCTGATTTCACACCGGTCAGGTTCCAAGGGTGCCGGACTACAGAGATTCAACCTGTACTAGGTAACACGGCTGTACATAGCTAAGGACAGAAGCCAGAATCATAGAATACTTGAACTGGAAGGGACCTCGAGAGATCATCAAATCCAGTCCCCTGCCTTTTCGGCAGGATCAAGCACCATCTAGACCATCCCTGATAGGTGTCTGTCTAACCTGCTTGTAAATATCTCCAGTGATGGAGATTCTACAACCTCCCTAGGCAATTTATTCCAGTGTTTAATCACTCTGACTGATAGGATTCTTAGCATTCTGCTCTAACCACTAGACAATAATCTCTCCTATAACTGGGAAAAGACGACAGCGGTTCTGGTGCCTACTGACCTACTTAGACTAACTACAATTGAGAATAGAAGCCAAGAGTCCTCACTGCCAATATCTGGCTCCAATCACTAGATACTCTCTCTCCGAAACAGAGCCTCAGCCTTCCCTTGTGTCCCTGTGGCTTATTTGAGCTAAATGCCAGCTCTGTGCAGGGTCACTGAAATTGTGAAGGGTTATAGACAAGTCTGAGACAGGAATAGTGTGTCTCTTCCTGATGAGGTCGAAGGGAGCTAGATGATGCGGTAAGGACCAAACAGCTTTCGTAAGTGAAAGGGTTTCAGTGTGATGGATGGAAGGGCAGAAAGAAAAAGCCCATGTTGGTCTCACATGAGGCGCGTGGGTGGTTAGCGGCTGCGTGAGGCAGCCCAGATTTCTAATGCCTGGTCTACGCAAAACTCTTTGGTGACAAAGCCCTGAGAATGTTCACATTGTGACGTGACAAAAGATGAGACACACACCCAGCTTTGGGGACAAAACACTTCCACTGCTGCACAAGACTTTTGTCTCCTCCCCGTCCATTTATCGTCGACAATCATGTTGTGTGTATTCTTTTTTCTGTCAAGTTTATCGACCTCCAGCGTGTTTCCCCACAATGCCCAATTAGACACTCTGGCCAGCTCTTTGAACTCCGCTGCTCTGTAAAGGGATCTTGCTGGGAGAGGGTGTCGAAGCTTTGCCTGAGGTACGTATTAACTTTCCCATGGAGATTCTATGGCAGGGCTGCCATTTCCCCACGGCCGTGGTACGACCCAATCCTAAATCTTTCCTCAAATGGCAACCAAGGTGGCACAGAGCTTGGCTACATAAGAAGAGGGGCACCTCCCCCATCTAGCAGGCAGAACGCGAGCCTGGGTTTGCTTGTTAACCTTCAGCATGTGCAGCTGCTGCACAAGCCCATGCCCGTCTCTCATTCCCTTCTTTCCCCCCACCTTTAAAAACTCACCATGATCAAAGGGCCTGGAGAAAGACCTGTGTTTGTTGCTAGGGTAACAAGAAAAGTGGCAAGTTTTGTTCAGAGATGTGCGTGTTAGTGAATGTTACAACCTTTACCATGAACCGTACAGTCACTCCGTTGTTAATGGTTACGCTTTCAGACCAGACCTTGAGAAGTCATGTACGTTCCTCATCAGATAGTGTAAGGAAAAAACCATGGTAGACGAGGGAGGATCTGGTCAAGGATGTGTTGCATCACTCAACACTTCAAGCAGAGAAGAGAGAGCAAAAAAGAGTGACAGAGATCCAAGTGAGCACACAAATCACTGAACGCATGCTGAAGCTCATGGAAGACCAAAATGAGATGTTGAAGGGTGTTATCAAGATGTCAAGCGAACAAAACCAGAGGCCCCCCTGTCAACACACAGAACTTTTTTTCACAGCAACCATCCCTCCATGCCCACACATCAACTTCCATGGCAGCACATGCAAAATTCTTTTTTCCCTGGCCCCACACTCATTTTCATAATCATGTCATGTTTTTTCCCTCCCCATCACAGTCCAGTCTCTGTGAAAGCAGCTGTTTGACTTCAACAGCTGGATCTGAATACCATTGCAAGGTTTTCCAGTAACTCTTACCATTGAACATACCGATTGAAAGACATCAGCAAAGACAATGTTTAAAGACATGAATTTATTTTATCTGACACAACCCACACTAATGGCTCTAGCCCTGTAGAAGCCTGAAATATCCGTTGGGTTTCATGGGAATACCTTGCTCCGGTAGCAACCCCAACACACAAATGTCAGCATGGACAGTGTCAGAATGGTTCCTCAGGGCCTCCCTGATATTGATGGTCACCCTATGGGCATCTCTGACCACACGAGTGTCTGGCTGTTAAATTGTGCATCCTGCTGCTGTGTCTTGTTGTTCACCCTTACTCTCACACAAATTATGTAAGCAACAGCATGTGGCCACCACCTTGTGGCTATGATCCTCTAAAAGGTCCAGGCTGTCATAAAGACACCTCCATCTCGCTTTCAATCTGCCAAAGGCACATTCAACAATCATACAGCACTGGCTTTGCCTGTTGTTGAATCGTTCCTTACTGCTGTCCAGATGCCCCGTATAAGGGGTAAGTTGCATCACTTAGGATCACTATGGGCATTTCCAGATAAATTTCTGGGATGAAAAGAAAGTCCCAGCCTGCAGCTTTCTGAATAGGCCACTGTTCCTCAAGATGTGTGCCTCATGCACCCCTCAGTGCTGGTTTCCCTAGCCCAGAAGCGATGGTCTATGGTAGACAGCTGATCTGTGACAGGCCAACGCAACGACAATTCGTTGGCGTCCATCTCACCATTGTTGTCCATATACGAGTCTTCGTCCTCTGCTATTAATTGCATAAGTAGCTGTGCTGCAATGGGCGATGTCCAAACACACTGAACACAACTTGGGAGACAATTGTGGAATCCACAGCAGATGCTGGAGTTTGCAACAAGGTCAGAAGCCCAGGGAGGGCTGGGAAGCAAAGAGGTGACTGACGTGACATTTTTCACATTTCCAAAATACATAGTGCTACATTGAGCAAACACACAGTGCTTAGTGACCAAAGGTGACTGGAGTAATTGTGGGACGCTTACCCACAGTGCTTTTCTCTGTCGACAGCATGCCAGCCATGTGGCCATGAAATGTCGACAACAGGAGGCAGAAAAACATGTTGTGTTATCGGAGTCATTATAATGCTTTGCACACCACTTTCATAGGAATTCCACTAGCATTTAAACGCAGCCGTTGTGAGGAGAGAGATCATGACAACATTCCATGTCATATGGCAGAAACATTGTCCATATAGATGCAGAATATTACAGCAGACGCATGCACACTATGCTCTCACAGCGCTTTTGTTTTTTCTTGGTTGCTGTTTGCACTTACACACAAAAGTCAAGCTGATGGGTTGCTCTGTGTGTATGAAAAAACACAACCATCTACTAAGTTCTTATTTCCCCATGATCGCTGGCTTTTCCATCCCTAGATTAGTAATATTTCTAAACAGTCCACTTTGTCTTCATCTCTGTTACATTCTGCAACTAACTCCACCTCCTTACAAACCCATCGATCCTTCCATGTACACCCCGATTCCTCTTCTGTTCAGATGTTCCTTGTTCTATCTCTTCCCAAAGCTCACAAGAGTTTTTCCTCCTTGCCCAAAAACTCTAAACTCCTCCCCACAAAAGTACTGCTGCTCTGTTTTCATTGCTCCTAATCTGCTTTTCCTGCTGCCCTGAATTTGGCACGGGTATTGGACAGGGCTGATGTCAACTGAGTTACCGGAGATCAATATATGTATGAATTGCATTAATTAGAAATCTGTGCATTTCCACTCTGTCAATAAGACCACAAGACTCACATGGGTCTTTTCTCATGTTGAATGCAGAAAAACCCTTTGACGTATTAACTCTCAATACAATCCAGGTCCTGGCTCCAGCTCCTTTGTGTTCCCAGAGCATTAGTCAGAAGAACACACTATCCTCACCCCAGCACACACGGAAGTCGAAGTTTCATCTGAGGATCTCAAAGGGCTTCACAAATATTAACTAAGCGCCAAGGAGACAGGTGGTATCAACACTGACGCACAGAGCAGAAATGGGACTTTCCCAAAGTTATTGGATGCATGATGCTTTTTCCCTTCCCTTCCCTTCCCATGAGAATTTTTGACATTTAGAATTTTGTCCGGTCCCGAATTGAGATAAAAATCGAAATCTTAAAAATTGTCATGACCAGAAAATCCTCCTCCCCCCGCATTTTTTTTAGTTTGGGCAAAAAACAATCATTGACTGACAGAGGATACGAAGAATCTTCTAGGAACAGGTTACTCTGTAAGCATTCACTTTGAAGCATCCTATAATAAACGGGAATAAAATACTGGACTAGTTCAACTCTGTGAGTTTTATATTTCAAACAATCTACTAGATTGTGGATTAAAATTAGACACAGAATTCTGTTGAACATAGGAGATGCATGCATTTGCATATGCCCTGCGTGAACACAATCAACTTTGGGGCCCCTCATATTTACAGTTTATGGACGAGAGTACAACAGCAGATACATGTTTTTCTCCCCCCATATAAAGGGAGGCCGTCGGTCATTACGATACACAGAAAACCTTGGTCCACAAAAGACTTTTAGAACTTACTACCTGATCTGTGCTTGGAGTATCTGTAATGTCATTCATGCTTCTGCTTTGTGCATGGCCTAAAGAAAGCACAAGGATAAGACACAATAAGAGACACGTAGAGGCCACAGATTTTCTATGTACAGCTTCCCAGGCCTGTATTATGCCCTTCATCTGTGTGGCTGACAAACTGTTATGTATTTTTGTTAGTCTCTAAAGATGCAATTACATTGCACTGTTATTTCGAGATAACAATGCGAGCGACTACACAGCCATTCTGTTATTTCGAAATAATTTCGGAATAAAGGACGGCTTATTCCGAAATCTGTAAACTTCATTCTACGAGGAATAACGCCTATTCCAAAATAGCTATTTCAAAATAACACACGTGTAAATGCTCCACTGCTGCTATTTCGAAATAGTCCCTCCCCAGGGCCATTCTAAATTATTCCTCCCCATTGCCTCCTGGGGTGCTAAATCGAGATAGCACGCCTACATTAGGGAAGCCTGCTTTGGATTAATTTTGAGGCCTCCCTGCAGTGTAGCTGTGTTATTTCAAAATAAGATATTTTGGAATAACTATTCCGGAATAGCTTATTTCGAAATAGCCCTGCAGTGTAAATGTACCCTAAGGTGCTACAGGACTATTCGTTTTGTTAAAAAGGAGAATTCAATAATAAGTTTGCTCTCACGCAGGCCAGATTCTGGTTTAATTCACACCAAGATAAATCTGGTGTGTCTAACCTGGACTATCTCCTGATTTAACATGGCATACATGTGATCAGAACGGAGTAACCCTGGTGGAGTTGACTCGATTTGTACCAGTGTAACTAGCATGAGATTCCGGCCATGTGTTGACACTTACCTCCTACATTGCATAGGCCAAATCGGGCCCTCACATTAGCATTTACAACTCTCATTGAGTTAATGAGTATAGCATAGATGGATCTGAGCAGATCTGTTCCTTTTGTTTGTTTAGTATCAGAGGGGTTAGCAAAAGCGACGAGGAGTCCTGTGGCACCTTATAGACTAACTGAAGTGTAGGAGCATAAGCTTTCGTGGGCAAAGACCCACTTCGTCAGATGCATGTCACGCAAGTGGGTCTTTGCCCACGAAAGCTTATGCTCCTACACTTCAGTTAGTCTATAAGGTGCCACAGGACTCCTCGTCGCTTTTGTTTGTTTGTTTGTTTCTTTAACCCTCTTCTTGTGATATGTTGCCACAGATTCCACTTTTTACCATCAGGGCTTTCTCAAGGTTTGTGCTAAGTCTCAATAGCATGAAAGTTCCCACATATAACATTAGTGGGTAGTTAATGAAAGCTTTTGGGGGTACTCTAATGTGGGGTTGATAAGTCACTCATCTCTCAAAGCTTATCAATTTCTAGTAAACCTGCAGCTTCCCCCCCCCCCCCCCCCCCCCCCCCACCTACCTAGCAATAAACAAAGATGAAGGAATTAATTCTGTTACTCACTAAAAGCTGCTTTTTTTGTTGCTTTAAGGGCTATAATAAATGTAAGCTCATTTTTTTTATACAGCCCTTCCCACCCAGGTTTGTAGTTTTAAAATTTCCTATTTTTCAAAATGTATTTCTCTTCACAATTCTACAGGGAAATCCAACTGTCTGCAAATAAAGGGGGAGCAATGAAATGGACTCAAACAGACACAATGTGGCTAAATATTCAAAGTAAACAAGCTGAACTCTCCCCCCAGAAATGAGCTCCCAATTTCTTTTCATTACAGTAATTTTAAATGTGGCTTGCAAAAATAGCCCAGAAAACATTTTCAGACAGTTGGCTTGGTGTTAGGGACCCGGGAGATCTGGCTTCTGTCTCCAGTTTTCCTGCCAAGTTCTTGAGGGCATGTCTACACTACGGAGAAGATCGACCCTCCGGAGGTCCATCTTCTAGTGTTTGATTTAGCAGGTGCAAAGCAGATTGTGTATCTTAAGCTGACCTTCCTGGTCTAGTGTAGACCTAGGCTGCGTGACCAGGGCTCATCAATTTAGGTACCAGATAAAGGGAGCTAGGCAGCTAATTATCTTTTTAAATCTGGCCCTTTTGAGTCCTTGTTCCTTGATTCCCCATCTAGACACTAATAATTCTTCTTGTCCACTGTGTCATCCGTTCAGCAATTTGGGGGCTGGTACTGTCTTTTACTATGCACAGCAGACCCTCAGCATTACCGTCTTGGGAATAGAGGTTGTTCCTAACTCTGAAATGTTCATAAGTCTGAACAAACCGTTACTGTGGTTCTTTAAAAATTAACAACAGAACATTGACTTAATGCAGCTTTGACACTTTACTCTGCAGACAACATTGCTGCTTTCCCTTTTCGTTTAGTAGTTTACTTTAAGAGTGCTGTTCTGAGTTTTGTTTTTGGCCGGTGCTGTTGCGTGGCTGATTGCGTACTCTTGGTTCCAGTGGAGGTGTGTGGGGGACTACTCGGTTTGCAACTCTGAGGTTCTGCCGTACCAAGGTGCTCTTGTACTTCACAATGCTGCCCTGGTCTCTGATGAAGCAAAAAGAAGCCACAGGAGCAGCAAGAAGTGCGGGTCTAAACTTGACGGGCTCCCTTTAATTACTTCTGTTCAAGCAACAGGTTCTCCTTCAAAGAACCATTTAGCTGGCCTAGAAGAACCAGCTCAGAGCTAAATAAGTTCTAGAGCTTGACACCCACTTCCAGATAAAATTCTCCAATTTATTCGGAAGCTGCAATTTTTATGCTGGTGGGGTTGCTAATGGGAGCAAGACAGCATGTCTGCAGCAGCACCGCTATAGTGTAGACACTTCCTACATCAATAGGTAGTGCCACATTTATGCCCCAGCTAAGTAAACTACGTCTTAGGGTCATAGATTATGAGGGGCTTCTACATACAAAAAAATTACTGGTTTTCAGTTGGCTCTTCGTCTATGTACTGGTATATAAGCAAAGGTAAAACTTGATTATTTCTATTTCCATTGTCCTTTCTGTTAGAATAATACACATTTTTTAAAAACAACAACGAATAGTTTAGCAGCACCTTAAAGACTAACAAAACATGTAGATGGTATCATGAGCTTTCGTGGGTACAACCCTTGTGGGTCCCACGAAAGCTCATGATACCATCTACATGTTTTGTTAGTCTTTAAGGTGCTGCTAAACTATTCGTTGTTGTTTTTAAAAAATGTGTATTATTCTAACAGAAAGGACAATGGAAATAGAAATAATCAAGTTTTACCTTTGCTTATATACCAGTACATAGACGAAGAGCCAACTGAAAACCAGTAATTTTTTTGTATGTAGAAGCCCCTCATAATCTATGACCCTAAGACGTAGTTTACTTAGCTGGGGCATAAATGTGGCACTACCTATTGATGTAGGAAGTGTCTACACTATAGCGGTGCTGCTGCAGACATGCTGTCTTGCTCCCATTAGCAACCCCACCAGCATAAAAATTGCAGCTTCCGAATAAATTGGACTGTCGACAAAACTTCCGTCGACAAAACGCGGTAGTCTAGACGTACCCTAACTTGGCTACCCCTCTGAAGTGTTTACACATTTCTATGGTAATGGTTGGGGGGGGAGGGGGAGTTCTCTTAAAGCTGACATGCCACAGGGCTTCACTGTGCCTGAATCTTAACCTGTCAACAGGGGCGTTTTTACCGTCTATAAATCTCAGAGGGGGAGCTGTGTTAGGATTATGCATTGTTTTTAAAGTTACAGACTGTGGCACCCTACGGCATGTCTACACTAAGAAATTATTTTGACATAATACCCAAAATAACTATTTTGAAATAAGCTTCTTCCCCAAGGAAAGCAGGAGTTATTATTTCAAAATAACCAGCCCCTTATTTAGAAATAACAGGCTTGGCAGTGTGGATGCTCGTCTTGTAACTTCGAAACAAGGGGAGTTACTTCAAAATAACTCCCTAGTGTAGACCAAGGCTTAGAGACTAACAAATATATATATAGAATCATGCACTTTCATGGGCAAAACACACTTCTCAAGATGAAATGAGTTTTGCCCATGCAAGCTCATGATACTGTATGTATGTATATATTTGTTAGTCTCTACAGTGCCACAGAACTACTTGTTATTTTTACCGTCTATGTAGTTAATTCACCTCCTCCAGTGGTGGTAGCTCGGTTGATGGAAGAACTAGGGGGTTTAGATCAACCTGATTATGCTATAGCTATGTTGTACCGCCCTGGTCCAGCATCCTTGGGATCTAACCGGTCCCAAATGAGGGAATTTGCTGGACCAGGGGAGGTTCCCTGTTACCGGCCCCCCAGCCTCCCACTGGCTCTGTTTTCAGCTGGTCATCCTGCCGCTGGCCCAGGTTCGGCTGGCTGCCATGGCCCTGGCCCCCTTGCTCTGCTCCCCTGATAGGCCCCACCATGTTCCCAGGACTCCCAGCCCTCCTGTTTCCTGACTCCAGGCCTCAGGGGCTCTCAGCCTGGGAACATCCGCAGTCCTGTTGGACCATGGATGCTGCTGGATCAGAGATTTCCGGTTTAGGGAGGTGCGACCTGCACATACATACGTACTAGTATAACACAGGGGAGTCACCTACCAAGTGCAGGACCAGCGTTAATGAGGCCCATTCAGTCAGGGTGAATGTGGCCGGACACTTGGTTGTTTTTACAGTTACAGTGCGAGGAAGTGGAATCTAGCTCGCTCTGATTTCTGCCAGTTATAGTCATTACTTAGAGCGTCATTTTCAGAGGGAAAAGTGATTTTTCTAAGGGCTGTGGCAGAGCTCGGGCAGTGCCCGGGGGACCTACGCTTCTCACAGACGGTGTTCAGCCTCAGAGGCTGGCTGTGACTCACCCCATGGCCTCTTCCTTTTTACTAGGGGCAGGAGTCAGAGCCCACAGAGCCATACTCACCACAGGCAGCCCATAGGATGGTCTCCTTTTCCAGAGTCAGACCCTGTACTGGCATGGGAAGGATGGGGGGAACCCGGGCCTACCCACTACTACGGGTTCCAGCCCAGGGACTCTAAGGCAGTGGCATCAGATTGGTTTTGTTCCACTCTCAGGCTAGGTCTACACGACAAGGTTTTTGCACAAAAACGGCCGTTAAACGGCAGAACAGAGGGCTTTTTGCGGTGTAGGTAAACCTCCTTCTACGAGGCATAACTCCTTTTCACGCTACAGCTGTTGCACAAAAAGGCGTGTGTGGGCGCTCTGCAGGGGTTTCTTGTGCAAGAGCGTCCATGAAGTGTGGACGTGCTTTTGCGCAAGAACTCTGCAGTGTAGACGTAACCTCAGTCTGGCAACTACTTCCCTGGGCCACTTCCCCAAACAATCCCTCTGGTACCTGAGCTGCCTGTCCTGCTCCTCCACAGCTCTCTGCCTGACTCGCAGTTCTCAGCTCTCACTCAAACACCTCTCACTCCCAGAACTTTGGCTCCTTCCCTGAACAAACAGAAAAGGAGCCCTTTTAAACCAGTCTCAACTGGCAATTGATTGGCCCCCGGGGGTTCTGATTAGCCTGACTCCGGAAGGCTCCTAATTAGCTCCAGGCGTTCCAATTGGCCTGATTGTCCAGACTACTTCTGGAAAGTTCCTGCTGGTTCTAGGCCAGCCCCTGCCAGTTTACTCAGGGACCAGAGACCTGCTTAATCAAGGGCTCAGATACCTCCCTTCGAGTGCTCTTCTATAGCCACCTGGCCTGACCCTGTCAGAGCCCATTCTCACTTCTCACTCTAGGCAACAGTTGGGTACAACCGAGGCCCAAGAGATTATATGTGTTTCCAAACATGAGTCAGTTGCATAACTCAGGAGTATGGATTCCCAGCCAGGTGTGTGTTCTGCCAGGCACTGCTGCCTCTGTAAGCAAGTAAGCAATTGTTGTCCAACTTACGTAAACGTCCATAATTTGCATTCTGTCTCATTCTGAGATCTTCGGTGGAGCGGTGGAAACTCGCCCCTGCTGCTGGGCTCCGGACAGGACTGCGATCTGCAGGGGATGGAGCATTTAGATCATAGGCGTGTGTGCAATCATCTGTCAGCAAACGCCGTCTGCTCGGATCATGCACGGCCATTAATGAATGCAGCTTGGTATTCAAACCAGGGCAGCAAGGGGTGAAAACTAATTGCCAGTGCATCACTTGGATGGGGTTCTTAGATCTCCCACACCTACTGACACTTTGCAAGTTTGGCTATGAATTCAGCATCATTTCCTGCTATTGGCCCAGGGAGAGTAGTTTTTCTATGAGGAAGGAACGGGCATACTTCTGACAGGATATTTTAAATATTTTCTTTGCAGGGTGAATTTCAGCCTGTGCACAGGGCCAATATAAGGGCTATGCCACTTACTTTTGTCCCATTTAAGCCCTATTTGGAGGCCTTAAGGGGCATTTAATTGGCTCTCTCTCCAAACAAGACTGAACATCACACAGTGTGAATACATACTCCACTGGTCTTTGTGCTCACTGTTCAGATGCTATGGTTGTAACTGGCAAAAGAAATGGACCAGGCAAATAGAACTTTGTCATCAATTCCACTGGCAGGGTGTGTCACACACTGACAATAGCCTGTATTATCCTGAACAACTGTTCTGGAATTAAGATAATTCAGTGAAGTTTAAGTTAAACCGTATCGAATTTGGGCTAATACTTCTTGGGCGCCCTGCTTTAAAAATGTGTGTTATCGTGGCACTGTGTGTGCTTTCTCTAGCAGGGAAGGGGGATGCTAATGGGGATGTAAAATCCTGTTTCAAATGTTAACTGGTTAAACTATATATGTTAACCGGCCCGGCGCATTGCGCTGCTGCCGGGGCGCTGCTGAAGCAGTGCATGATCCATGGTGCATTGTGGTGGGCCCAGCCCGCGGCATGGTAAGATGGGGGCTGCTCTAGCCAGGCAGGGCCGGGCCCACCACATCACGGGCAGGGCCTGTTCCAGCTGGGTCAGGCGCTGGTTAACTGGTTACGGTGATAAGCATGCTGGTACAGCAACACTTACCAGATAACCAGTTCCCCTTTTACATCCTCAGATGCAAGAAACTTCCTCGAGTATCATCCCTTTGGAGTCACCCTCTGGCTTATACTAATTTAAAATGGCTCCTGCCGCAGGGACCAAAAGACAAAAAGGGGGTTGGATAAATAGCCTTCTGCGTGATCCAGCTAACAGCCAGGACCTCTGACCCATGGAGGTCCAGGGCAGGGTTGGAAGGACGGGGTCTGCTGAGGCTCCATTAGCCTGGAAGCTTCTTCTGGGTTGAAGCTGTGCTGAACTTGGGACCACAAAGGAATCTCCTCGGGGTGGGGTTTGAAGGGCTGCTCCTGCCAGCACCCAAGAGAAGGGACAAGGGATGCAAACTGCCAGTGCGGGGAAATACACCATGAAGGCAGGGGACTGTGGAGTCTGGAGACAGCCTGGTCCGGAGGGAGGGGAGGAGGGAGAGGCAGGTCTCCACACAAGAAGGGAAAGACCTGAGAGTGGGTGCCCTTGCCTGGACCCATAAGGGAGAATACAAGGCAACTGCCCTGCATTGTGATACACACAAGGCGACTTGGTTTACAGCAGCTCACCGCTCACCACTCACTCTCTCTCAGCTCTCCTGGGCTCACGAGCAAACATTCGCACAAACACAGCTTGGCCCCTAAAAAGAGCAGGCAGAACTCCGAAAACACACAAAAGGGCCCAATTCTGATCCAGTGTATGCTGTGGTGTAATCCAGTCCCTTTGCTGGAGCCACACCTGATTTACCCCGGTGTAAACAAGGTCAGAACGAGACCCACAGCCTAGATCTTTGGAGTAAGGGGGCGCTGTTTTCAACACAGACGCAGTTGAGAGCGGAGCGACACTGCAAGCGTTTATGGAGATTCAGCATCTTCTCACTGTGAGATTCAATGCTGATGCCAGCCAAGGTAGGATCCTGTCCTGTGATAGAAAACGCCTCAGAAGGGCTGGTCCGAAAATGGAATTTGTGTTCCTCAGGGAATTCCAACATTTTCAACAACCCCCAAACTTTCCTCAAAGTGAGAATTCCAAAAACAGTTGCTAGTATAAAAACATTTGCTCTTTATACCATATTAAATACAGCTGATCCCCAAGTTACAAACGGGTTACGGACCAAACACTTGGCCATAACTCGAAATGTCCATAAGTCGGACCCCACTGAGTTACATTGCGACCGTGCTGTTCGTAAATGCGGGTTGCGTTCGTAACTCGGGGACTGTCTTTATGACCACTTAATGGGAGTTTTGGTTTTAAATCGACCGTTCGTAACTCAGGGACCAGCTGTATTACATAGGTGCGGTAACTAGCGGTGCACCCGGACCCCCTGGCCTGAAGTGGTTTCCATCATTACAGGGTTTACGTTTTGGTTCAATGGCTCTCAGTCCCCACTATACAAATTATTCCAGAACCCCTCAAATGTTAAACAGAACATATCCCCAATATTCTACACTCTATACATGCAACATAGGAATCTATTCAAATCTATATTTTAATATAACATGAAAGTCAAAAGAAAATGAAACTCAACTTTCATTCAAATTGTTTTTGATATTGTCAAAATGAAGCATTTTTCAGCTTTTCCCTTAGAAAATGACGTTGAAATCTAAATGTTTCATGGGAACATGTCAATTAAATGGCATTTGTCAATGGAAAACTGGTCGGTCGAAACAGTTTTGACCAGCTCTGCTTATCGCAAACAGGCTTGAAGCACCAACAGGAACAGCAGCTGCAAGAACAATCTCTCCTGCCCAATTTAATAATGGGCCCAATGCAGCACCCACTGAAGTGGTAAAACTCCCTTGGAGGGGTCACAATCTGCCCCTGCATTTCCCCATATGATGCCAATATTCCTTCCAACACCTTATTACACATACATGGAAAAAGACCCACTGTGTAAATATTGCCGAGGAGCAATAACCCCAGCCAAAAAAAAAAAAAACCCCAGGCTAGAAATCACGAATTGACCAGACCACTGACGGGAAGGTGTGATGGGACGGACTCACCCCCGCGGCGCCTCCTGCCGATAGCAGTGGGAATTAGCTCGTGCCTGCCCGTTGGACGCCTCCCGCTTCCTGGTGTCTCCCCATGTCGGTTCTAGACCCGGGTCACTCCCAGACTGTGGTGTTCTCTTCAGGACATTGCCCTCTGGCAGTGCCCACTCCAGTGTCTCTCGGCCTGTTTATCAGTCTCTGCATTCTGGGGTCCTTCCCTCCTAGGGAACCCCCAGTTTCCCTGTACCACCTTGCCTCAGCGACCCACTGCCAGTCTTCATCTAGACTCTGCCACAGGGCACACTGCAGCCTGACATGGCCACTCATCATCAGCAAGGGGGTGTGGACCTGCTGCCTTTTCCTGCCCTGGCTGCCCCTCTGCATCCCTAGCACCCTGAGGCCTTGCTTCAGGCCCTGCAGCCTGGGACAGAGGTCAGGCTTGAGCTCCCCAGCCCTGCCTGCCTTTCCCCAGCCCGGTTCTGTCTAGGGAAGCCACCAAGCTTAGCAGCCAGAACCCTCCAGCTCCACCAGCTAGAGCAAATCTGTCTCCCTTACTCCCTCCAGGAGTCCATATTCATAGAGCCCCCAGCTGGGCCCTAACCCGCAGTATCTGCCTCAGCGGTGGCCTTTGCTCTCAGTCCTTTCTCAGGGCTGGGTTCTACCCTTAAAGGGCCAGTGCATGGCACATGCCGAGTCACAGAGGAGCAAAGGGGTTAGCTCCTTGGTAAATGGTAAGTTTTCAGAGTGGAGAGAGGTAATTAGAGGTGGGGTTACCGGATGGGTAACCAGTAGGGTTGCCAGATAGTCCCCCCTCCCCCCCAAAATACCGGGCACACAGTATTTTGGTCAAGCAAAAAAAAAAAAAAAAAAAAAGGGAAGGACTCCGAGTCTTATTAAGCAAAAACATAAAAATAAAAAAATTAAATTAAATAATAAAACTGCATTAAAACAGCATGGCCCCTTTCAGAGTGAGTGCAGAGTTGGTGGCCATTTTGTGTTGTTGTTCAAGCCAGAACTTAGCTTCCCTGCAAAACCAGGTAAGCATTGGGTCCGGGGGGATAGGGGTGTCGGGATCCGGAGCGAGAGCCGGGGGGCTGGGCCCATGCACTAGGGTTACCAGGTGTCCGGTATTTTTGCCTCCTGGCCAGGAAAAAAAAATCAGAAAATACCGTACATTTTAGGTATCCAGTATTTTCTGATTTTTTTTTACTGGACAGGAGGTGAAAATATCGGACACCTAGCAACCCTAACTACAAATAATATTCACAATGACACTTTGTACTGATGATTGATTAATGCGGGCTTACTGGGGCCATCCATGGTGATGAGGTTGGCGCTGCTCCAACAGCGGCTCCTCCCAGATATCTGGAGCTGTGCTGCCCTAGTGGGGCCTCCTGGTGGGAACTCCCTGGCCCAGTCAGTGGTTCTTGTGGTGGGTGGGAGGGCGCTGCCTCACCTCCCCTGCCCGTGTTTCCTTACTAGGGCAGGTCAGGACTGGGCTGCCTGTTGCTCCCAGCTTGTGGTGCTTCGTTGGGGGGATTGGCAGGCTGGAGCTGAGCTGCCTAGCCCCCCCAGTAGCTCCTCATGGGGAGGGGGAGCAGGATTGAGTTGCAATTTACAGATCATTACTTTGAGCACTAACTTGCCATGGCCTCTAGCTTTTCTGGGGAAGGGGCTGGGGCTCCACTGCCTGCTGGGGTAGCGGGGCTGCTGGCCATCTGAGGACGGGGGGGAAGAGGTATGGGGTAAAGGAGTGACTTATCTGGGCAGGTGGTAGGCAACATAGAAAGCCCTTGGCACCAGCTGGCCCCTCTCGTCAT